AGTTTTAACTAGATTATATGCTTATAATTTGAATTACTACTGGGTAGCTTGTGAATTTTGCACCGGAGAACAATAAAGTCTTACTGTAGTTTTTGTATTAATCTGGTTCTGAAAAGTAACTAGTAACTAAAGTTATAAAATGAATGTAGTGGGGTAAAAAGTGCAATATTTGCCTCTAAAATGTAGCAAAGTGAAACTATGAAGTAGTACATAATGAAAATACTCAAGTAAATCCCTCAAAATTGTACTTAAGTACACTAGACTACTTGAGTAAATGTACTTAGTAACTTTCCACCACTGTAATAAGTTGATCTTAGTGGTGGAACATTTATGATCATACTGCAGCACAAACTTTTAGTTTAGTTGACTGAGCCAAAGTAATTTCAAGCATTTTACAATAATGCCACGCTTGTTGTATTTGTGTAAATGGAAACACATGTAACTGTGAGCACATAATTAGTTATTTTTCCACTTTATCTTTATGTTATGTAGTTGTGTTTTATATTTATATCATTGTTTTGATGTTTTTTGATTGGTGATTTCCATGAGGAACATGATGACAAGTCATCACAGACAAACTCTGTCTGCTGCACGTTACACTATTATTGTGAATAACAACTGTCTCTTTAATTAGACTGAATGGTCAGTAAGATCCACAGCTCAGGGCTAAAACATTAGTGGTGTTGTGAAGCAAAACACACAAACACCCCATTAAAAATCCTAGAATCCCATGATACCTGAAAAAACCACTGACCCATTTCCTTTTCAGTGTGTGTGTATGTGCATGAGTGTGCTTGCATTAGCACAAGTGTTTTAGGAATTGTAGAGGAGCATGCGGGTCTGCATGCCCTCAGTGTCTGTGACTGTTTTTACTGTCATCAGTGGGAAACAGTGCGATATCATCTAACTCCGGCCTCAGCAAAACATTGCAGAGCATCGCAACCATCAAGGTGTTTCAACTCGACTTTGAAATATCCCCCAATTAAAGATTTTAAATCTAGAATTGATCTAAGAAAAATGGGTGGGAAAGTCCCAGCCAATGATGCTCTAATAGCAAAGGGAGCCACAAGTAATCAGTTAGCCAAGAGGGAAGGCAATCCCACAATGTCAACAGAAGCATATTTGTCGATCAGACTCCTCTGTCCTCAGAGTTGAGTTGATGCAAACAATAGTTGTGCACAGCTCTCATCACTTTCAAACCTCAACTGCTGTGTGTGCACCTACTCCTAGAGAAAACAACTAACAATGTGATAATGATCTTCAAACACATTACAACACTGTTTCATTGTTCATATAGGCTCTCGCACTGTTTATCCAACAACAGCGAGCTTTACCATGAGCTTCCAAACTTGAGCTGCACCTGAACTGATGGTCCAGTCAGACTCAGACAGACCTCAAAACAGTTACAAGCTCTCTCGGCTCAGACAAGCGCTTACACGTTAGAATAGTGGAGACAGATTTGCATCTTATTTCCATCCCACTTAGATGCCTGGAGTGAGACGGGGTGACGTTAAAAGCCAACTGTCTTCTAGGATGAGGGAGAGGTCAGGGAAAAGAAAAATGGGAGAAATGACAGAGGGGCTGAATCTCACAAAAGAAAATTGACAGTAATGACACAAAGAATCCTGGAGGGTTTGAGTCGTTGGAAACTGTTGGAAACTGTTGGAAACTACTCCATGTGCATCCAGGTTGCTCTGACACGCTTGGCTGTTGCTTGTCCACCTGTCTGTGTCTCATGACAGTGTTTTTCATTTCTCCTTGATTGTTTGTGTCTCCCTGTCTCTTCCAAAACACTGATGAGTTCAACGCCTTGCCTCAGGCTATTCAGTACCAGTAAGTACAGCGAGCCTGGTGTGGGTGTGCGTTACCTACTGTTGGAAAGCAGAGTGACACTGACTGAATGAGTCCTTCTTTGCTTTAGAACAAAAGTGGAGACCAAGAAGATCCTCTCTCATCAAGACAGGAGTTTCTGTATATACTGTATGTGTGTTTTAGGGTTTTTAACTCCTGCTTTTGTAAGTAAGTAAAAGAATCACACTTTTTTTTGTACCTTTCTCAATCAGACAATAAAGAAAACAAATGACAGAAAATAGAGACACAAAATGGAAGCAATCGATAAAGCTGAGCAAATGCAGGATGGATCTTGAGCTTGTCGTTGGATCTTAAGGCCAACAGAGGATAGTTTCAAAGTTTAGAAACCAGGGCTTCAAGTCTGGAGCAAGAAAGCCCCTGATAAGACAATATAGAGGCCTACCCTGCAACCCTCAAGGATACGTGAGTACAGCAAATGGATGGAGGGATGTATCGTCCATGTCCAGAGAGTAACTCTGGACTTTGTCTTTTACCCCTGTGGTTTTGTTCTGTTGAGTCAGCATCTTGTCGGACCCTCCATCAGCACCCCAGCCTCCCTTCATACACGCACACACAGCAACACAAAACAACACACACATCTTTGTATCCCTCCCACACTGTTTTATCCTCTGTATCCTCACTGCAAACACAAACAAGCTCCAGGAGAAGCAGGTGTCCTTCCACTGGGATAAATAAACAGTAAAACCAGGATCCAGGAGCAAGAGGGTGTGTGTGTGTCAGTGAGAGGGAGACAGAGCGAGCGGGGGGAGGGGGAATTACGTTGCTTTCTGTCTCTGTGAGGAGAAACTCTCAATTTAGCTGATAGTATCTGTTAGGCCCCCTCTGTTTGTTTCCACACAGGGTGTTTCTTTTCATGTCATGTTTATGGGTTTTATTGTGAATCTGTTTATTTTTATCTTGTTATCACAATCAGCCCTCAGCAAGTTGTAAAGGATTATATTGAGTAAAGGCAATGCAGGTAGAGAATGTCACATTCTCACTACTGATACACTGATAGATAGGTTACATTATTTTTTATTTATTATTACAAATTTAATTTAAACTTGACAAGCAACTGAGATGTTTCTGTATTTTAATTTTCTGTGCCATGGAAGAAAGGCCAGTGTTAGGAATCTCCATGAGCACTAACTGTGCTCCTGTCCATGTTTCTTCCTGCAGGATGCTGCGGATTATTAACAGATAAATGTGGGCCTTTCGTTTGTTTGCATTCTAACTGATCGTTTCATTTGGACAGTATTGATGATTCAGGAGGTTTCAGGGAATCATTTGCCTGCTTCTTACATGCAGCTGCAGGCTGATGGTTATCTGTCATTCAGGTGGGAGTATCTCTGATGTGGTGAGAAGAGTTCACTTATGCAGGATGAAAAACTGGCTGTGAGCGAAAACTGGCTGTGGCTGTGGAAGAAAATGTTGCATCACGTTTTGTCAGCTTCCATGAGGCGCCTGTAGGTCAGGAGATAGAGAGGGTCATCCCCTCGCAGTGGGGTTGCTGGTGAGATCACTGGTGTGTGAGTGGGAAATAGTGTAAAATCTATGAGCGTCCTTCACTGCATAGAAAAGTGCTATATAAAACCATTTACAGTGTGGCCATTTGACACCTGAGATTCTTGGAAACATTTATTCAATTTTTTCCATAAAACAACATTAATATACAGCTATGTGAATTTAAATCAAGGCTTGTTCAGAAGAAGTAGGAAGCTATAAGAGATCAATAAAGAAAGATGAAGAAAGGAACAAAAACAAACTGAATTTACACATTTTAATATATTGTTTATTTTGTTGACACCACCTTTGACTACGACCTCAATAATAAACATATAACTGAATCTATACATTTATGACAATTTCATAAACTGAAACATTTTGAGCTTCACATGCACAGACGATAAGGCGGAAGTGTTGCACTGAATTGCATACAACTGTACAGACATACCTAATAAACTGGGTGGTGAGTATATGTGTCGAAGCTTTTATTGAGTTGTTGAGAAGACATTTAGTAGTTGTACTAGAACCTGCATGTGACACTGAACATCATCAGCATTCAAAGTTGCCATGGACCAGAAGATATTTAATGGTTCAATTCACTAATTAAAATGAAATGAAAGATATTAGTGTAACTATACAGATACCTCTATGGTGCAGCAAGGTTACTAAAGAATTTCAGTACCCTACCACCACAAATGTTATTAAGTGTTGTAAGAATCTGTTACATGTTCATTAACTTGGTGAGAAGGTCCCACGTTTTGAGTACGGGTGCACCAACACCCACAGCAAGGGAGAGTTTTTCAAGTTTCGCTTTTAATTTTGTATTAAAAAGACTGAAACTTTCAAGATACTCAGATAATTTAAAAAATAAATCAGGAAACCACTGGATGTATTTTTGCATCAACTGAGAACTGTGGATGTTGTCGCCCATCCTGAAGTGTGTTATCAAGGCAGGGATGATTACAGAAAGCAACATCTGTTTCATATGGGTCCTCACTAGGACAGACGAAAAATGGCGAACTTATCCTTTAAATGCAGGTACTTTGTCATTGCAAATCGAGTCGCTGTTTGATGCTAACAGTCTCAACTTACATAAAAATTATTGCAGTGATTTTTTTGTTAGAGGGCAGAGCTTGAGTAGCATCACAGTAATAATCATTGCATAGATGCAAATGACTGAACATAACGTATTGTGTTTAATGCTGCAGTGGCACATTGCCCAAAAGGCTCCTCAAGTCTTTTTATCAGGAGCCAGTTGTATTATATTTCTCTAGTGTCTGTGACAAGGCAGTAATTGTGATTCAGTTGTTATACTAGTGCATTTTCTGTCCTCCAGTTTTTATCCTTTTTATAATTTTTTTAAAATGACCTTTAACCTTTTAACCAGCTGTTTTGAATTAATAAAGTATTTGCGTGTTTTTCACCAGTCAATAACCCACAGTGATAAAAATCACACCTGTTAAACCTTGCTCTCACACTGGATTACCTTGACTCCCTCCACAGCTCCAGGTAGGCCACCAGGTGAGCCAATCACCACCACACAGAGGGTAATCGGCAGCGTGGCCCCGCCCACTCATCCACCTGTAATCCAATCCGCGGCCGTGTCATAGGTAAAACCGGCCTCAATTTCTCAGCATTGCCCCCAAAAAGCGAGAAAAGCTGACAAAACCCGTTCTCTCAGTAGGGGACACGTTGTTTGTTGCCGCGGCCCTCATCCAGTATTAGCGGCGGAGTTTACCACGGCAAAGAAGACGGATCGGATTTTCAGTACCAACTAGAAAGTCCAGTTCGACCGACCAAGATGTCACAGGAGCATGACAAGTAAGTTCTGCTGACTGCCCACCTTTTAGCCTGCACACCGAGCGGTCACCACTCTGAGCTTTTAATACCAACTTTAAATAGTTGGACGGGGAATTTTTTGTTTGCTTGCTTTTTTTGTTAGTTTGTTTTGTTGTTGCTGATTTTTGTGCGTTTATTTGTTTGTAGCGGGATTTTAAAAGCCGAGGTCTCACTGTGGTCCACATCAGCCTGATATGTTAAAGTTTATTCTGGTATTTGTCTAGAATTTTTATCGCTCCTTATTTTAACGCGACGTTTACTCTGAGTGCCAAGAGAGAATGTGATTCCACCTCCTGCTTTCCCATGGTGTAACGCCGCTTGTTTCACCTGTCAGGTTCAAGCCTGTACAGGTGTATCTCCACCTGTCGTGCGAGCCGAGGCGCCTGTTAGAATGAGAGCTGTCCCGTGATCGCGATGGGCGGTTTAGTGTTTGATTTTGCTTTAAGCTCTAACAGTTAATATTATGTTCACGATAATGATGTTTGTTCTGGGAATAAACTCGGAGCTGACAGTTAAAGGAAAATGTTATATTGATGTCAGAGTTTTGATCAACAGTTTGATTAAAATGGATATAAAACAGATCAGAAGCTTTCATGTTTCATGGAGGTGATTTGGTTTATGTCCTGTATGTTTTTGGAGAGAAATGACAAGGAGACTTTTGAGGGGAATGAAACTGTACACCTGCTAGGCGTTGGCCCGACTGCTAACACAGACAATGTAAGCAAGCACAGGGCTATATGAGGTTTTAGTGGATTTTACTCCACATGACTCAAATGTTTTGTTAAGTGGAAGGGGCACAAATTAGTCAGATAAATGCAGATTTCCCAAACCTTCATAGGGAAAAAGGGCTTGGTGTGTTTTTGTACATTAAATGTGACAGATGTTGTGAATTCACTGCTGAACTTTATTCTTTACAAATGAAATTTGAATTTGTGTCCAAAAAAACAATCAGACTTCATTTTGTTTTAGTAATGGGTTACATTCCTTTGGTGTTTTATTGCCAGTAAATAATGGCTCTCATCAGGTTGCAGTTTATGAATAGCACAATTAGATATATAGGATTACTAATTATCACTTTGCTTTGAGCATTGAGAAGAAAAAAAAACTGCATTTGTTGTGGATGCTCAACATGGAAATTGAGCTGAGTGTTCACAATTTATCATAATTGCTTGTTTTACTTGACAATGATGTATTGTAGAGGTGTGTAGTTTCCAAAGTTTGAGAAGTAAAGCTAATGACCTTGATGAAACTTTAGTAGCAAAAGCTCAACTAATGCCTGTTCTAGTCATTAGGCCCAACACATCTATGTAAATAGAAGCTGAGCAAACATTTAAATTTACTGTAAACAGGCAACTTCACTGTTTAAACGTTGACTGTTTTCTTGTTGAAACTAAGTACTGTATGCTCATTTACATTTAAAGGGTTTACCTGAGTTCACTGAGCTTAAATTATTATATGAGAGCCATTACAAGCAGCTGAGACACTTAAAAATATAAGCTTGTGATTTCTTATTGGTCCCACAGTGTCCTGTTTACAAAACAGCAACTCTCAAGTAAGATATAAGAGGAGGAGAAAGATGCAGTCGCTGCATAAAAACCCATGATTGCTTTCACAAACAGGTCTCCTAAGACACAGGAACGTTGCAGGGCCACTTACGTCACTTGCGGTCATCTTCTCAACCAATGAGTGAGTCTTCGAAATGGAGTTGTCACACTGGGCAAGCCTGTAGAGCATCTTTTTAGTCGAGACACCTCAGTGGTTTGATGGCTGAGATATGTTGCACAATCATGGAAAAGCTTGAACAACAGGTCTCGCAGATAAAGAACATCTCTATGGTTGATCTCAGTCTAATAACCTGTTTGTCTGTTTTGACCGAGGCTGTGATTGTAGGTCTTGGCTTTGTGAGCTCGTACGAAGTCAGTGAGAAGAGTCAATCTGTTGAATACTTGTAGAAACACCCACAAAGGGAGATATTAATCCCAGAGTCTTTTAAGCATGAAAAAGTAGCTCCCATACACTTTAACTGAAGTGTCTTATTTTTAAATGACATCCCAGAAGTAGATCTGCATTAAAAGGAGCATTAATATCTTAGTAAGTGGTGTTGAACTCTGTCTTCCCACAGTAAGCGTGCGGTCCTGGTTCTTCAGAATGAGCCGGGTTATGGTGGCCAGCGTTGCTCCTTCACCACAGAAGATGAAGCATGGAAATCATTTCTGGAAAACCCACTGACCGCAGCCACCAAGGCCATGATGAGCATAAACGGAGACGAGGACAGCGCCGCAGCTCTCGGCCTGCTCTACGACTACTACAAGGTATCAGGGGAACCTTAGTCTCCACAGCTGTCGCCACATTTCTGAGCTTCTTTTTTGTCATAAATCAATTAAAAGTACAAACTCTTATGTTAGGGGATTAGTTGTCAAATCTTTATCTACAGTATATGATCTTTCTTCATAATGACATCCAGCCATTAAGCAACATCTGTGAGGCAGAGCCTATGTCATGTAACTGATCTAACTGCCCATATAGACAGCACGGTGGCCTGAGCTGTTGGATGTGATGTGGTCAGACGCTAAGCTGCTGTGTTTACCCTCCCATACAGGTGCCCAGGGAAAAGAGAACAATACCCCAGAGCAAGTCAGAGGCACTGGTCTCTGATGTGGATCCCAACAAAAGGTAAACAACAGCCCTCACCTAATACCACCCCCCCTTTAAAAAATAAAAGCACAGCCGAGGGGAACCGTGACATAAAGGGAATGAAGAGGTTTGAGCTCTTTAACTTTTTTGAATTTTCTGTGTGGCTTTGCATTTGCAAGGGAGCTGAATGTCTATTTATTAGAATCTATTTAAATCTGCTTACACATTTATTGTCCTTAAATGAGCAACCTTGTTTTTCCCTAAAGGTCAAAAATCGGCTTCTCAGGAAGAAAACCCCTTGTCTATATGGGTTCAAGTTAAAACGCAGGGTTCATAAAGTTTTACAAACACTGCTTCATCAGATAATCTTACTGAGATCAGCAATCAAGTGATAAAAAGTAATGAAAACAATTACAAGAGTTGTAAAATACATTCGCTATAAGGCTAAAGAGGGCAGAGGATCTAGCCCTAGAGCTAGTGAATTAATTGTAAATGGTGGGTTAATCAATCAGTCACTTTAATTTTCCCACCAGAGCAGTTGGTAGTGCCACAGATGAATTGTGTACAGTATAATTAGCTTGATAAAAGGATACATAGAGTAGACATAATAAGCTACGGCTTCAGGCTACACGTTTTTGGTCAGTTTGGTTTAAAATTTGTTGGTTTTTATTTTTTGCTGTTGATTTGCTCACTTTTTACAATTGTTTTCTTTTGTGATTTGGAAGACTGAAATAAATAAACAATTAAAAAAATTATAATAAAAAAATAACACAAAACATGAAAACATCACATAAATAGACAATAGAAAAAAATGCATACTAAAAACAATTAAAATTTTGATTAGTTAGTTTTGGGTAATGGGATTTATGTAAAGATTGAGATGGAAAAAGACAAGAACAGTAGTGGAAGCTGTGGCAGTTGGCTATTATAAATAAATATCATGATTTTAACCAGAAGAAAATTAAAGTTAGACATTTAATTGTTCATATGCACTGATTTGCCTTTGTTATAGACACCAGATCCAGGCCGGACACTCTGTAGCTCCGCTCCAAGAAGCTGGTATGGAGAGCAGGATCCAGGTCCTGAAGGGGCCCTTCAATATTCTTCAGCTGTCCCAGGACAAAAGGACTCAGTTCCCTTCACCAGGTCTGTTCACATTCAGTAACATAAACAGGCACAAGAAGCTTAAAAAATAGAACACATGATTGTGAGTGCGCTCATTTTGTCTCCTCAGACACAACCGTCACAGTTTCTATTGCTGCTGTGCCAAATTACCCGCCAGTCAAGACAGAGGTGCCCACCCATGGCTTCTCAGTGACCGTGCCAAACAATTGCACCGAAACCGACAGCCATGTAACCGTCTTTGACCGCCAGCTCACCCACAACACGGTTCAGTTCAGCCCCAGCACCCAGTCCCGCACGCCCCCTGACTCCACCTTTTCCGAGAGTTTCAAGGATGGTTCCCAGGAGGTGAGTGTTTCGATCCCCCTCTTTCTAAACCCCACTGCCGGTCTCCCTACAATCTCCCCTCCTCCTCCTCCTCTCCTTTGCTTTCCTCTCCTCTCCTCTCTCAGATCTCTTCTGTCAGACAATAGGATATTCACCTGATCCCATGGAGCCAGCGGTGGGCTTAGCCTTCCCTGGTTTTAATTGAACATGCCAAAATAGCGGCCAGTGTGTTGTTATGCCATTGTCTCACCAACACAATAAAGTGCTGTACTTTTGTCCTACAATAGCCAAAGCCCTTTCTCTCCTCTTTCTCTTTTTAACCTGGAGGGGAATTACATTAGAAAAGAGTAACCCAACAAAACCCCAGTACAGGAGGAAGTGAGGGGGGTTCGTAGCACAGCAAATGCACATTTGAACTTAAATAAATGCAGTGAAGGAGATGAATGCATTAATAAAACCTACCCAGAAAGACAGACATCATATGGTCATAATGAATTATAGGAAGAGGCAGTTGATGAAGCAAATCATTAACAATCAAAACAACGTAAATGTTTATGATCCTATTTTCGAGTGTCTCACTCTGAGTCTTTCTCTGTGTGCGCTGCAGGTGTTTTCCTTCCCAGGGGATCTCCAGTTACGTATGACCTCCATGACGCCCGAGCACTACCCTCAGTTTGACGCTGTGCCGGGGTAAGTCGTGCAGCCACCAGCCCACCATGTAACTTCTACCGCCATTCAGCTTTCTTTTGACACAACACCCGAAAATGGTCTCATTCATCACAGTCACTGGGGAGACGCCAGACTCCCCTCCGTGTGAAAGACAACAGCATGCACACATGGATGATATCTGGCCCTGCTCTGACATCACACTAATTTTATGGTTTAGCTGCAGTGGCTAAATGAAGTGTGCACCATTAGGTTTTACCTTGCTATAGTATGTCTTAACCTCAAATGTGGATCAATAGATTTTTTTCACTATCAATGCAGGGATTTCACATTTCTACATAAAAGGTGCATGGTTTGTAGTGTAAAAATGGTGCTTTGCAAAGTTTTACCAACCTATTTACTTACTGTTCTGTGTTGTAGGAATAATTTTGAGTACACTCTTGAGGCATCCAAGTCTCTCCGTCAGAAGACAGGTGACGGGACGATGACATACCTCAACAAAGGCCAGTTTTATCCAATCACCCTCAGGGAAATTGACACCAAAGGGATACAGCAACCCATCACCAAAGTCCGGGTAGGAAGAAAACAAACCTAAATCAAATAACACCTTAGGTTTATTGACAGTAATCATATACTAATTAAGTTGTCATTGTATGTTCCAGAGTGTAGTCATGGTGGTGTTTGGAGAGGAAAAGTGCAGAGATGATCAGCTGAAACACTGGAAGTACTGGCACGCCAGACAGCACACTGCCAAACAGAGGTGCCTCGACATCGGTAAGACCTGACGGACTTAATCGATGCAATGATTCATCCTGGACCACTGATTAGCTCACAGCTGAGACATCTAAGGGTTTAGTTTCAGCATGGACCAGGCTGAGTAATCCTCCTGTTTCTGTACAGTTGAGTGGCTGGTTGAACGAGCAGCTTAGCAGTAGTTGACAGGAAAAGGCGTGTTGTTTGGCTGTGACAATTCAGTTTGTCTGGCTAGGGATTACAAGTCTGCAGCCTTTGTAAACCTCAGCATATCAAACAGCAACGGTAAACAAAAATAACATTTTATGCTTAGCTTTGCTGACTAGTTAAAGTGTTTTTCATTTGGTTTACTGTGTGATTAATAAGCTTTTGGTCCTGCTTTGTCAAGTTTTCTGCTACTTAACTGATCAGTAAGCTCTTGTTTGTTACAGCTGACTACAAGGAGAGCTTTAACACCATCGGCAACATCGAGGAGATTTCCTACAATGCCATTTCCTTCACCTGGGACACCAACGAGGAGGCCAAGGTAAGATAATAAAAAGCACACACACACACATGATTTCACAGGTATACAACTGACAGTTACCATCGTCCAATCACAAAGCTGCTTCTATTGTCCCAGACGTAGCAGATCTTGACCAAAAAAAAACAACTGATGTGTGTGTGTAAGGAAAGCTTCTGCTTCTGCATCTTTGTTCCTATAAAAACAAGCACAGTGTTTCCTTCTCAGGATCACTGTTGATCCAGGGTCTCTGTGTACTTCCTTGTCTTGAACTCTGAATATGAGCCTTGAACTTTTCACATCAACACACTTAAAACCTTAAGCCAAAAATAGAATTCTCCCTGTTCTTTAAAGTCCCAGTGCGGTCTTTACTGCAGACCAGAATTAAAGTTTCAGGTGCTGAAACCCCTTTTTTGGTGATCATCAACCACTTTGTTCATTGTGATCCTCCAAAACAGTGGTTAAAAGAAAATAGGGGCTTAAATAGAAGAATGAGGATGCTATCATGTTGTCACCTCTCCTGTTGGGTGTTTATACTGGTTGCTTGGATGCAAGGAAGTGTGTGTGTGTGTGTGTGTGTGTGTGTGTGTGTGTGAGTTTTCCTGCACTCTGCGCACACACATTCTTGACTGGTCCAACCTGCCTGTCACCCCTATTGTAATGAGGCACGTTAAAGTATTTCTGAACAACAGATATGAGTAACAAAGGATGTAGGAATGAGGAAACGCAGCAGGGTGACAAACACTGCATTGATCAGTGTCCAACAGATTGAAAAGATCACAGAAAGGAGGAGCTCCCGTCCTCTCTTCCACTCTTGATTTTTTTTTTGTTTGCTTCACCATCAACCTAAGATGGATGGTGACTGACAGGCTAACAAAGAGACAACATGGCGTCGTGGCTCATTTCCAGGGTCCTGCTCACTGTTGGCTACATTGCATATAAATAAAGTCTCACACATACACGCACACATTTATACACACACCAGGATGTGAGTCCAACTGTCTCATGACTTGAGGTCTGTGCTCATAGGATGTTCATCCTTGTGTGTGTGTTCATGACTTCACAGTGTGTGTATTCATAGAAGCATTGCGCCGCCAGGGTGTTTGAGCATCTCACTGGTGTGGTGTTAGATGACAGATAAGTGTGTATGTGTGGCTTGCCCTCATGGTGACTGCCCTGCAGCATATATGCATCTGTGCTGTATTTGCAAAGGGCAGCCCCACCTTTATATTTACCTGCTCTGGGGCAATTTACTGTAATCATCAGTTACTTTTCTGATCTGTGTCTGACTGTTGGCATCAGTTTTTGTCTTTTAAACTGTCCTCATAGCAGAGGGTCCTTTATGTGTGCATGTAAATCACTGAAACTAATATTAAGCCTTTTGAAATATAGTTTCAAAACAACACTTTTTTTGTCTACATGAGATATTCTGTGAAATCCCCACTTTTTTCTCTCATAAAATATCAACAGAGTTATGTTACGTCTGATAAAACATGCTGCAGAGGGTTCAACTTTCATTAAATTTGCTGTCAAATTATTAAATGTGTATAATTATATTATATATTAAAATACTTTCACAAGGCATTTTCTCCCACATTTTTAAATGCTAATTGTTTCACCTTTTTTTTTTTATAACATACATATATGGTGATCAGTGATATTTGTTCCTTTCACCTTGGATCCTCTCTGTTTGGAAATTCAAGCGTTCTGTTATGATTGTGCGTTTTGTTGACACAATGATAACCTGTTTTCAGTATAAGCACCAGGAGCACAAAGGAGCATCTTCACATTGAGCCTGTGATTACTAAAGGTGATCAACAGGGGGCAACACAGAACACCGAATGCACTCTGAAGACCAACAGTTGAGGCCTTCAGTGTTGCACGGTGGTGCTTGCCTAAATGATAGAATAACCAGTGAAAACCTTAGTTATCGTTATGATTCAGAAGAAGCCATTAAAGACTAAAGGTGCTGTTGACTTTAGACGGACAATGCTTATATGTGTTTTATGTTTAATTCCTCAGGTGACATTTTGTCTTAGTTATAAAGACAGCCATTTCCATCTCCTTTCTCTCATTCTTCCTCCTTCCTCTTGCTACAGATTTTCATCTCTGTCAACTGTCTGAGCACTGACTTCTCCTCTCAGAAGGGGGTGAAGGGTCTTCCTCTGAACCTGCAGATCGACACCTACAGTTACAACAACCGCAGCAACAAGCCCATCCACCGCGCCTACTGCCAAATCAAAGTCTTCTGTGACAAGGGAGCTGAGAGGAAGATCCGTGATGAGGAGAGGAAACAGTCTCGCCGAAAAGGGAAGGTGGCTGAGCTCAACCCTGGCCTGCCCTGTCAGTCCTTCAGTATTACTTCACCTGTATTTTCTCAGTGATTAAACATAGATATGGAAAAAAAACATAGCAATAAATTATACATAAATGTAGGTTTAATGACTTTTAAAATGTCTTTCAGTATGAATAACAAACTTCTCGTTGTGACCTTTCTCCTCACAGTTGTGGATGTCAAAGTTCCCATTCTCCAGAAACGCAACGATGTGACCATCTTCAAGATGATGAATGACCTTGAGACCCAGCCCGTCCTTTTCATTCCCGACCTTCACTTCTCTACCTTCCAGCGCCATGTGAGTGATACAACCAGTGCTGTTTAGTATGGCACAGAACACATTTTCTGTTTCATAGCATTGGTGGCATCTTAGGTGGTTTATGACCGCTTTATTTTCCAGCTTCTACCCACTCAGAAGCCAGCTAGGTCGAGGTGACCTTCTTGCCTGCATCTTGGCAGGAATACACTGTGTTTGAGCTCTGAAAGGAGCCCTACATGCTGATGGGTACAATTGAGACTGCTCACTAAAAGGATGAATCATTTACCAGGGGCTGAGAACATACTGTTACCTGTACTAGTTAATGTGGACAAAGGAAGTATGTAGACCTGATTAGATGTTTTTATCAGTGTTGACAACCAGCAGCCCCCTCCTCTGTGACTGGACTTTGAGATTTGCTTCCTTTAGTCAGGTTGAACATGTGCGTGCATGTACACCTGGCCTGCACACAGTAGTTTTTGGGTCAGTTTGGTATGTCAGGCATTTTACATATTTTCTCTGAGTGGACATGATAATTGGTTTCATTTGTGTGAAAATGATTGCAGGAAAATGGATTTCCACACCCTGAGAAATGTCACATTTGTGAGCTTTAGGCTCCACCTGCTGGTCATATTATGAGCAGTCCCCGCTCAGCAAAAACAAAAAAAGATAAATAAACAAACTCTCCCCTTCTTCATCGCTCTCACTAAGTTTACTTTCCTACCAGCCAGGCTGAGGAATGGACCGGGGGTTATTTTAGGTATTGTCAATATCGGTAACCCTGACTGAACTACCTGCTGCTGTACTATTGGTTTCTGATAAACTTTGCTTTAAAGTTTACTGGGTTCCCTCTCAGAATAGAATTCTATAAACGGAAATGCTTAAAATCAATAACGTGGCAGGGTGAAAGGCTTCAAAAACAGTAACTTTACAGAAATAAACTGTTTAGGCTAATTAGCTGACAAAAAACACAATTAAAAGTATCACTTATTTACAAAGGTACAAAGGATTACAGCAGATCAATCAATATTAAAAAAAATAATCGATAATTTAATCCCCACTTTCCTGAAAAGTATCCTGTATTTTGCAACACAAAATCTGATTTAGATTTTCCAAAATAACCTTATAATACAGCTGCGGAGTTTTCTGTTGACAGTTATCAGTTCATGATAAAGGAAAACTATGTGGGCCACAGGAAACCTTTTGGATGTTGTTACTGACAACCTCAGAACTGTTTGACTGATTTAACCACCAGTGTGAAGAGCTGGAATTAATCGGCACGTTTTAATGATTAAGAAGTCATGTTTAAGTGTGTTTTAATGTCGGCTGTCATTATGAAATAGTTGATACCCAATTCTAAGATATCTGTAACAATTAAAGTTATTTCTGAGACTGTGTTGATTGGTTGGTTTTGAACTTTTATCTTCCAGTTGAGTAACTTTCTGCCTCTTTGTTTCTCTTGCAGCCTTACTCGGCAGAAGGAGAGGACAGGTACGTTCACAGAATTTCACATGTGCTCTTTTCACAGCTGCTTTTAGTAGATTTGAACCCAAACAACCTTTGGCACATTCCAAGTAAAAAGCATGCAGAGATTCATGTGTTGTTACTAGGAAATGTTCATGGGCTTTTGAGTGCAGACGTGTGGGTGTGTGTGTGTGTTGTACAGCCTGTTGACTGGTTGTTGAGGCCATTTAGGTATCGATTTATGTGTGTCCACTGCAGCTCAGGCATGAAGAGACTACCTTTCAGTGATGATGAGTTCGCTTCTCCCCCAGACAAGATGCCAAGAGTGGAGGAACCAAAGAAAGGTACTAAATGTGCTTGTGTGTGTGTGTTTGCTAAGGTTGGCTCCTGAAGGCACAGTCCCACCACACACATGCTATCTTTGGGTCATGTGACTATTCCAGGTCTTTCAAAACACAAACACACACACACACACATGTTCCTGACCCAGCAAAATACCACTGAACACTATGTGTGCACACACACGCATGCAAACAACCTTGTGCCCTGTGCTCTACATCCTATTCATAGCCACACAGCTGGGTTTTTTTCTAGTACTAGAAATGTAAATAAATGCTTTAAGATATGTTGCAGGCAGAAGAAGACTGTTTTAAATAGTTGGGCCTTTGATAATTTAAAACCTGTTTTGCACCTGATTCAGCTTGAATTCACCTGTGTACAATCAAGACAGATTAGATCTTGCAAAATAGGCTTTTGCCACAGTCGGGGAAACATCCACAAAGAATCGACTGAGCATTGTCACATGTGTACCAAACAATCCAGTCAATAACAGTGAGCTGTTAGGACTTAAAAAGTGAGGGACTTATGCACTTATGCAACCCCATACCAGCACACTCCCAACTTCGTGTTTCACAGTCTGTTCTCTGGTAGTCCTGGCCAGGTCCACATCATACCCTCTGGACCTCGGACCTCATCTGATACAAACAAATTCATTTTGGTTTCATCTGGCCAAAGAATGCAATGTCAGTAGTCCTCGGGCTTCTTTTTGTGCTCTTTGGCAAAGTTAAATTTTTCAGTTTTGTGCAGTTTTATGGACTCCAGTGTCCTTCACACTATGTGATGAGTCATTGCAGTGCTAATTTCTACAGATAATCTTTGTGCCAAGTTAGACACTCTTAGCCATGTACACAACTTAATGCTCAGTGCAGGTTGTATAAATAGTGAATTGTATGTGGCGCCATTTTTTTTCAAGGATACACCCTGTGCCTTCTGTTGTTGGCAGTCTATTCGATACCTCCTAACCACTGCTGCAGCTGTCTTTCAGTTTATGTCCAGCAGCCTACGGATGCTCTTGTACACGCTCTCTTCTTTATGAAGTCTCGCTCTCTGGTTTCTTACTTGTCTAGGCAATTCATCAACATGTGGAGCCATGTTGCTCTAGACACAACCCAGGCCAAACCAGAAAAAAACGGTGTCTACAGGTTATTTTATAGCATTGTTCATACAATTAGACTTAATTGAGAATCACAGGTGGAATCATTTTTGTTGTTTTGAGGTTGAACTATGGGGCCCATATTTTCAATGTAGCCCATCTAACCTGCTTGTTTTTAATTATACATATGATCAAACATTGCAAATGGCACAAATGTAGTTATATTGCACAGAGGTATAGTCAGTTTTATTGTATACCCTATTTTTTTCATATTTTCCCAAATGTTTGCTTTTTTGTGGAAAACAATTATAAGACTGGTCATTTTCTATATTAATAGTATTTTCATCAATCCCCATACAGAGATTAAAACCTCGATTCACTGTGAATGGTTGTCAGCTGTCAGTCCTGGATTAGCTTGATCGTCTGTGCCATGGATTGCTGAAAACACTATTAAAATGGAAAATGACCGGCTTCATCCTTTAAGCTTCTTTTGGCCTCTAAATGATCTTCAGATGAATAGTTTCACTTTTTGGTGGGTACTCTTTCTAATGAGGCATAACTGAGACCTGTGTATACCATAGCAGCATGAAGCCACAGCATCACCATACGGTTACTTACCTTACTGTTTCGTTCATATGCACAAGTGGATCAAACTAGTGAAAACCCTGGTACATGTAATCATGTCTTTAAATAGAGGCCTATGTAGAGACCTCATTTAGAGACTATAAATATCACAATTCTTGTTTACAGGTTGGAAAACAATGCGAGAAAAATCTATTCAGAGCTTGATCTATTTTGAGAAGACTGAGTGTAGTGCATGAGAAGTGTGGGTCTGTCCGTGTGTGTGTGTGTGTGTGTGTGTGTGTGTGTGTCTTTGCTGTGATAAATGTACTTTGTCTGGCCCAGTGCCATTGCTATGAATCAGGATGAGTCCCAGTGTAGTTTGGCAGGGGGAGTATTTAGTTAAAATGGCCTGTAGCTATATACAGTATACAGTGGCAAGAAAAAGTATGTGAACCTTTTGGAATTTCATAGTTTTCTGCATTAATTTGTCATAAAATGTGATCTGATCTTCATCTAAGTCAAGAGTATTGACAAATATAATGTGCCTAAAATAATAACAAAAAAAATTCTGATCTTTCATTTCTTTATTGAGAACAGCCATAAAAACCTCATAGTGCTAGTGGAAAAAGTATGTGAACCCTTGAGTTAATAACCTCAAAAATCTAATTGGAGTCAGGCATTAGCATACCTGGAGTCTTGTTAAGAAAGTGAATTTGGAGGTGTGAACTAGAATTGCTTTGAATGATAAAAACCACTTAAACCTTTTGAGTTTGCTCTGCACAAGAAGAATATGCTTATGTGAGCCATGCCTCACCAAAAACAGCTTCCAGAGGATCTATGATCAAGAATTGTTGATTTACATAAAGCTGGAAAGGATTGCAAAGTGATTTCAAAGACTTTAGAAATTTACCAGTCTACAGTTAGGCAAACAATATATACATGGAGACACTTTGGGACTGTGGCTACTCTACCAAGAAGTGGGTGCCCAGTCAAAATGACCCCAAGAGCACAATGAAGACTCAATGAGGTAAAGAAACAACCCTGAGTGACAGCCAAAGATTTGAAGGCATCACTGGAACTGGATAACATCTATGTTCATGAGTCTACAGTACATAAAACATTGAGCAAGCAGGGTGTCTATGGCACGACAGGAAGCCGCTGCTTAGTAAAAAGAACATTGCTGCATGCCTGAAGTTTGCGAAAGAGCACATTGACACTCCATAGCAGTATTGGCAAAATTTTCTGTGAACTGATGAAACTAAGATTGAACTATTAGGAAAGAACATGCATGAAATTCCAAAAGGTTCACATACTTTTTCTTGTAGGTAGAAATGTACTAATGGATTAAACATACAGTATGTGTGCATGCGCCTGAGCTTTTCCACTTCAGAAGCAAAATGGGAATGCAGTGAAGCCACAAACCCTCAAACCCACACAAACAAACCAAACCAGCAGTGAATCTGTTTGGTCTGATGCAAATACATGCTATACATCCACCAGTGACTTTTGCCCGAAGTCAGATTGGGGTTTGGATTTGTGTCTAGTCCATAAACATATGCACTTTGCTCTGACGCCTGCCTCCCTCTTCTTTGTCTTTTCACATAGTCCTGTTGTATGTGCGCAAGGAGGCAGAAGAGGTGTTTGATGCCCTCATGCTGAAAAATCCCACGCTGAAAGGCCTGGTAGAAGCTGTAAGTTACCTTCAATTTATTGTACTAGTACTGGAATATACTGCACTTTATGTTCCTGTTGCATATCGGTGGTTTTGGCCATGCATGCTGCAGCTTGAGAGCAGGTTTTCTCTGTGTGTCTCAGCGACTATGGCAGGCTAAATGAGGAGCGACAGGACCCTAGATTAATGGAGGGAAGAAAGAGAACAAGGAGTGGAGTGGGGAAAGAGACATAAAAAGGGTGTGTAGGGGATAAAAGGGACACAAGGGTCTAAAAGTCCAAGATATAAGAAAAGAAAGAGACAGGTGTAAAGTTATTTCAGGGATCACTGACTTTTAAAACCTTATGAAGTACAAAGGCCATGAAAGTAAAAAGCTGATGAGCTAAAGTATGGGAACATGTCTGATTAGACACAGAACAACCGAGTCTTTTCAGTGTATAATCTGTCCATGTTTATACATTTCTTTCAAAAGTGTAACACTGATTTGTATTTGTTCTCAATCAGATTTCAGAAAAATATGAGTTGCCTCTGGATAAGGTTGGAAAGGTGTATAAGAAGTGTAAGAAAGGGTGAGTATCAGTGATCACATTCACATTTTATCTTAAACTTGGTGAAGGAGAGAACCTGCCATCAATGAAATGATTTGCTCACTCTTTTCCCAGATGCACAATATACTGTAATCACAGCGCACTCTCCTCACACAAAAACCAAACAAATGTAAACATTCAAAAAGGTTTCTGATAGGCATTTTGTGACTTCACTGACAACCAGCAATCAAACTGCACATCAGCTAACCATGAGCTGAAGAAACGGATGTATGCAGACCTGATTGACCACAATTTGGAAATCGAAGGTGCAATGATGGTATCTTCATAATGAATGTAAAGCCTCGACCTTGAGCTTAATCTCATTGTAGGACACTAAATTTTAAAGGAATGGTTCAAGGTTTCAGGACATACATTTAGAGTATTTGCTTTTTTGCAGAGATTTAAATATAAAGATCTATATCACTCATGTCAGGGAGAAACAAGGAAGCAGCTGGGTTGTCTTTGTCCAAAAATATCTCCACCTACCTCTGAAGCTCACATTATATCAGTTTTTAGGACAGAGCCATGCTTGCTCTTTCCTTTGTTCCCAGTCTTTATGCAAAGTTAACAGTAAATTATAAAATGTTTACTGTAGAATGATTAATTGTTTTTAAAGGATAAGGCTGGTAATTTTCTATATTAGCAGTATTTTCAACATTCCCCACACACAGACTAAAACCAACAATGATTTGCCTCTACTCATGATTAATGTCTGTCACTCTCCAACCTCGATTGTGCCATAGACCTCCAGTGATGTTCAAACACAATTAAAAACACATCAAGGAAGCACACCGCTGCACTTAGTAACATATTTCCTCATTTCAAAACACAAGACCCTAATATTTGTTAAGAATATCCACAGATCTTGTGCATGGGCCCCTGACTCTTACTTACTTCAGATGCTATAAAAGATTATGGCAGTTCGACGCCTTTGGGGCAACATTTTTCAAGAAATATCAGGGTCTGGTGTTTTGTAATGAGGGAACATGTCACCCAGTGCAGCGGTGTGTTTCACTTGTGTGTTTGTAACTGTTTTTGAACAACAATAGAGATCTATGGCAAAGATAAATAAAACAATCTAGCACTGACAGATTGACAGACATTAACTACAAGTAGAGCCAAATCATTGTTGGTTTTAATTTCTAAGTCGTGAAAAAATTAGGACACCCTTTGAAAGCATGTGTATTTTGTAACATGTTTTAATATATGGTTATTTAATCTCAATTTTAACAATACAGAGAGATTCAAGTAATACAAGTAAAACTGAAGAAAAGTCTTTTCAAGATCTTCTGTAATTCTACAAAAATGCCTATTCTGAGGAAAAAGATAGCACACCCTCACATGTATGCCCTCTTAAAATGGCTCAAATCACACACAGGTATATCACACCAGGTGCACATAATTAGTAGATCGTTACTCAGCATTTTGAATGAGGCTTGCCCTATCTAGTTCCGCTTCAGCTTTAATTTTCTAACCGATGGTCTCACATGTTCTTCAAGCACCTTCTGATACACAGTAGAATTCATGGTGGATTCTATGATGGTGAGCTGACCAGGTCCTGCTGCAGCAAAGCAGCCCCAAACCATGACACTTCCACCTCCATGCTTCACAGTTGGTATGAGGTTCTTTTCCTGGAATGCTGTGTTTGGTTTACGCCAAACATGTCCTCTGCTCTGGTGTCCAAATAATTCAATTTTGGACTCATCTGTCCAAAGAACATTATTCCAGAAGTCCTGGTCTTTGTCAACATTCTCTCTGGCAAATGTCAGTCTGGCCTTGATGTTTCTCTTAGAGAGCAAAGGTTTCCTCCTTGCACGCCTCCCATGCAAGTTAAACTTGTGCAGTCTCTTTCTGATTGTAGAGGCATGAACTTCTACATCAACAGCAGCCAGAGCCTGCTGTAGGTCTCGAGATGACATTTTAGGGTTTTTGGAGACCTCTTTTAGCATCTTGCGGTCTGCTCTTGGGGTGAACTTTCTGGGGCGACCAGACCTGGGCATGTTGGCAGTTGTTTTGAAAGCCCTCCACTTGTATACTATCTTCCGGGCAGTGGAATGGCTGATTTCAAAATCTTTTGAGATCTTTTTAAATCCCTTACCAGACTCATAGGCTGCTACAATGTTTTTTCTGAAGGCCTCTGACAGCTCTTTCACTCTCACCATGGTACTCACTCTCACTTCAACAGTCAGGAGCACACCAAACTAAATGTCTGAGGTTCAGATAGGGCAAGCCTCATTTAAAATGCTGAGTAACGATCTACTAATTATATGCACCTGGTGTGATATACCTGTGTGTGATTTGAGCCATTTTAAGAGGGCATACATGTGAGGGTGTGCTATCTTTTTCCTCAGTTAGAATAGGCATTTTTGTAGAATTACATTTACAGAAGATCTTGAAAATACTTTTTTTTCAGTTTTACTTGTTTAGTTGTATTACTTGAATCTCTCTGTATTGTTAAAATTGAGATTAAATAACCATATATTAAGACATGTTACAAAATACACATGCTTTCAAAGGGTGTCCTAATTTTTTCACATGACTGTATATGGAAACTGTTGAAAATACTGTAGTGTGTGGTTGTTTGTTTACATGTCAGCCTAGTAATAGATGGTGACCTGTCCAGGGTGTACCCTGCCTCTCACCCAGTGTCACTTGGGATTGGCTCCAGCCCCCCTGCAGCCCTGTTCAGGAATAGGCGGTATAGATATTGGATGAAAATACGGTTACAGTAATATGGGAAAAAATGGCCTTATGCTTTAAGTCAGAATTGGTCCTCCACTTATAATACAGTCTCAAAATCAATCTTATAGAAGAGTTTGTTTTTTTTTTATGAGGATGAAATAAACAAGTCATTAATACCCTTATCTGTCTTACAACAGTATTTTAGTCCACATGGATGACAACATCATTAAACACTACTCCAACGAAGACACCTTCCAGATCACCATGGAGGAGATGGCCGGCAAGTACACACTCACCCTCACAGAAATCTGACTGAGCAGAGGGGTGAAACGGAGCTGTGGTTTACGTGTAGCGATGCAGTCATAATGGACTTGATCAGAAGATTAGATCATGTCACCTCTGTGCTGTATTAGAGTCAGACAGGTTGTAAACACACAAAGTCCCAACAGAGATATTTAAAAAGCCATAGCTCTTAATAGACATTGATTAAAGATTTAAGTTAAACATATTGATTAATTTTAACACATTTATTGTGCATGAGAATTAACAATTGAGGACACACTGGATTGTTATGACTCTTTTGTTTTGTATTTAGAGAGAATATGAATTGCACCTCAAATACAAATGCTTACTTTATACATTTTGTTTAAAATGTGTAGCGCCATTGTGGTGATGTTAAACTGTACCACATACTATGCAAGAAGCACTGTTTTTTCACATATTTGAATGTTATGAGGAGAAACAGCTCATCTTTCCTTTACTACAGCTCTAGCACTGATGATTTCAATCTGTAAAGTTGGGTATTTGGTGCAGAAAATGAAGAGAGCAAATTGTTGATGGGGCCCCAGTGGTTCTGTGTATTAATACTTAACAATATGGCAGTATTTAGTATGTAAAACTTTCTTCAACCATCATACAATTAGGATAGAACTATGTAAATGTTTGTTGTTTTTAAAGCAGATGATACATGTTTGTGAATGAAATGACTTAAATATTTTTTTTTCTTAAGATCAATTTAAATAATGCCCTCTTTGTAAGTATTAAACAGTTACAAAATATATTGATAATAATGCTAAAACACAACTACCCTTTCCTTGTAGAGTAGTTTTCTGAATGGTGATGAAATAGGTCAGTGGATGTCTAGGACATTTTATACAAGACTGTCCTGGGAGTGCAATATGATATCAGACACATTCAGAAAAGAATTCTCTTTTACCATAACTACAGTATGTAACACATATTAACTGATAAAATGGATTTTTTAAATGGAAATATTGTTGTATATATCCACTGGAAAAAAAAAAAATCTGTATGATACCTGCTTTTGTATCTCAGTACTTATTGTGTATATATTTATTAAGAGAATGGATGTGGGTCATTTTTACTATATGTATTCAAATTTCTATTATTCCTAAACATGTTTTTCCATTTTATGTGAAGTTGTTATAACATTACATGTCTGGGGAACAAAGGGTAAAAAATGTATCATAAGTAAAAATTTTTTGTAAAGGATTTGACACCAAAATAAAAGCTTTCCTGTAGCTACTCTTTTCATTGTCTGAGGTGTTTTCCTGCTCATTCTCTCCTATCATTTCAGCTTTTTAATTCTTTTTCATTTGCCAACTTTCATCTTAAACAGTAGTTAAATTGTTTAATTAAGAAGTCTGTCTGGTTATGCAGCGACAGCCTGGTGAGAGAATAATATGAACATAAATAGAAAAAACCATGAAATTCATTCAAAAACATCAGATCCAACTACATTGTTTTCAGCAATAATGTATAAAATCGGTTTGGCTCTGCATCCCATCAAAAAAAAAAGTAAACCAGTGATTCGAATGCAGAGTAGGGGTTTCTCAATACCATTGTTACTCTAAGTTATTCATTGGTTTGTCTCCTGTTGGCTGCATTTTAACTAATGTATAAAATGATAAATCTCACACTGAATAGTACACTAAAAGTTATATATGAAATAATGTATTCCAGTGAAGATACAGTAATATGTATAAGATGATTTGAGGTCATTTAACTAAAGTGACTTGTTGAATAACCATACTGTAACTCCTGTAGTGGAGAGGATGAGAGTTATTGTAATATTGAATACAGTTTTTGTACCTTTTAGCTTTAATGATAATATATTTGAAATAAAAACACTTACAGCGAATCAATACAAAACAACATAACATGGTCAAGTATGTTATAACAAAATAATGATATTTTACATTTTGAGTGGAGATACTTCATGTGGAAGTAACACTCTTGTCTGTCTGACACTGTCTGTGGCTGCCCATCACAGTTCAGGGGCTTTACGTGACACATAGACTCTGGGAGGAATATTTAACCCTGGTGGGGCAAGTCCTCCCACTATGAGTCTACTCCTAATGTTCCTGAGTTGGGGGAGTTGGCCAGACAGGGGAGGTATGCAGAGGCCCAGATAGGGCCAGCATAACCTTTCCTCCAGATTCTCTAACTAAGTTTAAGCTGACTGCCCCACTTATATCACAAACAGGCTGCTGTACTTAGGCCCGAGCTGCCTGTCATGCCTGTGTACTAACATGTTTTCCCTTGTAACCCCTCCCTTTTCCCTTCTCTTCTCGCTAACTGCTGGCACTTCTACAGCTCCAAGCCCTTATTGCTCCCTGAGGTCATGCTTATGTGAGTCATACGGAGGCATGGCCTTGGTTAACAGCCAGGCGCTGCCAGGACTGAACCAACACACCTGCTATACTCCCTGCTGCTGCAGGCAATCAAACAAGAAACCTTTTTATGAGGGACATACCATAAACTGTGGTCATATGAGATTTCTGTGTATAGAAGCAAGAAAGTGCTGAAACATTACCAAATATCATGGGCTTGTGCTCATAAAAATGACACTGGGGCTAACATTATTTTCACCAAAGCATCTTGGATTTACTGAATCATTAATATTTTCAAACGCATTAAGGTGGTAACTTTTTCATATTATAGCTTTCAGAGGTTCGTCAGTACTAGCTGGGCATATTTTTCTTTTGTCTAAATGCAGGTGGTGATGAAACATCATATTTAGGTCAAGCCCAATTTGAATTCTCTGACAAATCAAATCAAAGTTTTTATTGTCATGTGCACAGTAAGGAAACATGTTTCCCTGCACAATGAAATTCTTTCTTTATTGACCACAATGAATGCCAAACAATATAAAGTCTAAATATAAAATAGATAAATAATAACACAAAATAAAGGCAATTTTAAAAATAGCATATGAAAAATATAATAACAATATAATAATAATACTTGTAGGAATGATGTCAGAAATGAGGTGACAACAGGGCCCAGGAAAAGCAGTCCAACATACATTAATATTTACATCAAGTTTAAAGAATATACTGGAGGTTTTTTAGGATTAGGTAAACAAAGCACAGTATTATTTGCTTTGCATTCAAAACATGAAATGTAGTGCATCTTCTGCCTTGAATGCCTTAATAAATGAATTAATTTAAATAAATAATAGAATAGAATATTTGGTTAATGTTTATAGAGGTGGCCTTTCATAAGTGACCTGGTTTACTGGGAAACATTTGAAAGGATCATCAAAATACACTGGTAGCATGATAAAGACCTACAGTGAATAAAAAGCATTTTGCTCACTTTGTAGCTTTGTAACTTTGCAGTGATGAAAATTAAGCACTTATTTATCTGTAAGAGGAAAACTGGCAACAGCACTAAAACAGGACAGAAACCGCACTTCATCTTGCACAGGTGTTGCATTCAGTATACTGGGAAAAGTGGTACAAATATACTTTACCCCTCCCTCACTAATTTCAAAGTTGAAAACAGAGGCTGTGAAGTCGTGGCCTGACCTTTTCTTTTTACAAAACCTTATATGGACTGAATTCAAGGAAATTGATGTCTGATAAGCTAAAAATATGTGTTTTGAGTGTTTAGGCTGTAAGATGTAAGAACTTAACCTAACCTTTTTGAGAGTTTCTGCAAAGTGTAAACTGCACTAGCCTGCTTGTGAGCTCATGTAAAAACTGGTAAAAATTATTTAGCCATTGAATCATTTTTATTCTAACAATCTACTGCAGAGTGAGACCTTTGGTCATAAATAGTTATAGGCTATTACATGTTTTATTTAAAAATTATTAAAAAGTATAAAATCACAGACTGTAGCAGGGAAAATTAGCTTACACATAAACCCATATGAAATCACACAACATATGTAAAGTTAAGCAGTTTTTAGTGCATGCTTTGAAAAGAAAATCTAAACATGCTGAACAAATGAGAAATTTGAGATAACATGTAATTAAAAATGGCTCTATTAATTGTATACTAATGAAAACATTAAAGTCAATAAGACCACACTTGAGGTGATAAAACATTCTGACAAATGAAAACAAATAGGCACACTCTAGTCTCAATTTTGAAATGTAATAAACTACACTAATAACAAATAATACATTACATACATTTAGCTTTAAAATGAATAGAAATAACACAGGAGACCATATTGTTTTGTATAGTTATCATATGTAGCTATATATAAGTAGTTTAGATTATTTGTCACTTAGGTCCTGTGTAGTCCTTTTAATTGGCCTGTAAATGCAATTTCTCTGCATAAGATATATTCACAACAAAATCTAATTTACATTGTTGTATGGTGTTTATATAATAATTCTCTTTTTTGGATGACTTATGAAGTGTTGCATGGAGCTGTCATATATTTCCCAGGGCAATTCCCACACCCAGTGAATGCAGCCATAGACTGGGTCGACCTTTCACCGACATTTGTGGCTGCCAGTTCATCGGGTTTACTCTGACACTGCTGACTCTGACGGCCACGCCCACCAACGGCCACGCACCCCATTTCCTCCAACCGTCCAGCGAGCACGCGCTGCTCACGCGCTCTCCGTTCTGCTATTGGCTGAAGCTTCGCACACACTCCATTGTGATTGGCTATCTGTCGCCACCCGCCCGTGCGTGTTGTTGGTTTTGTTTTTCTTTTTTTCTTATTTTTAATCCTCCTACCCATGTTTTACACACACAGCTGAGAGAAAAGGCAGCCAGTCAGAGAAAAAAAAACGACCCCGGCACCGCTCCAGTGCAGGCGGCAGCACTGGTAACTGCCGTGTCTTTGTTCTGTGCTAGCTTTGAAAACAAAACCCCATATTCATTTTATTCCTCAATGCCATCGGGAAATTTTAACGAAATGGACTCGCACATGGTAAGACCATTTAAAACAGTTTTTCAGCTTAAGCGCGACATTGATTATGTGTTTCCCATCAGTCTATTTAGTTGTTTACTAAGTGATTTGATACTTCAGTAACGTCATCAGCTAAAGTCAAAATGTAAATATTGTTGTATTGACATTATTAAAGTACCTCATTTAGTTAATAGTTAAAACTTTTTTTAGTGGATATTTAATTCAGTCACGTTTTTTATTAAGTATTTAAATGACCAATGTGTCTATGATAATCTGAATTTTAACATTTACGGAAGGATGACAGTATCATCAGGTTCAGTGTTTGCGGAGGTTTAGTGGCCTAATACAGTATATGTTGCTTGCTGTAAAGATGCATCACGAAGTTGAAAGAGACTGAGCCAACTTCCTGATGCAAACCGCTTTATGGGGATTTCACATGGCTCATCTCTGTAGCACGTCACTGTTTGGTCTACGTTTGGCAATGGGAGGTGTCCTGGCTCCTAGCCAGAGGCGGTGCATGCTGGGGTGTAGTCACTAACACCCCCTCCTCTTCCTTATTTGCAGCATTGAGCAGTTTCAGCTGGGAACTTTAGATACAGGAACAGTGACTGAGCAGATAACTGGAAATAGTTTTTTTTTTCCATTTTGGTGAATTGGCTTAGAATATTATAAAATCTGAGTCAAAGGTGAATTAAGACAGAGTATCATGCAGTTATAAAAAACATGATGATGTGGCAGTACTGTAGTACTCTCACTTCACTTCCTTTGCCTCATGTTTATTTATTGTTCCTTTCAGACGGAGTTTATGGAACACTGTGGTCCGTACACAAAGAGAAGGAGGCATGACATTGAGTCTGTCCCTGGTGGAACCTGTGGCCTAGAGTACACAGACCTGGAGGCAGCAGAAGCGCTGGTGTGTATGAGCTCTTGGGGCCAGGGCCTCTTCCTCAGCAACCGGCCAAACCCCTGCAAACCCAGACCCCTCACCCCAGCTTCAGACTCCTGTGACTCCCTCCTACCCCCAGAACTTCCAGAACCCCCAAAGGACTTTGTGTCCCTCTCTTCCCTGGTAAGGCACTTATCGTACTGTACAGGTGTCAACACTTTGAATAATATCTTTGTCAGTTTTGCCACTGTCACTGATTTTTGACCAGTAAACATATTCCTGAGAGTTGTGGTTTTTGTTAAACCCTGTGATATTTTGATGCTGTAAACATTTTTGGCAAACATACCAGAACATTAAACAGCACATACCATAGGCTACAACCAAACAACTCCTAAAACAATGTTAACATATGTCCTTGTGATCCACCTGAAGAACTCAAGAATGTGATGCTCAAACGATTTAAAGGGACAATTATGAAAAATTACTGTAGACAATTTATTTGTCCAGTGAGATAACCTATATTAGAGAATGTAAATTAATGGAGAAATACTCCTTCTTGCTGGACCAATGAGAGTTCAGTCAGGAATTATGATACTTTTATTAATACAAATCTCCTCTTGATCTTATTTATTATTTGTGAGGTACATATCTTTTAATGCTTAATTTGTTTATACATTTACTGCTAACACTGTAGTGACAAATACTCAACATTACAACTTAACAAAGATACAAAAGTAAAAGATTATTAATGAATTACCTATTACAATGATCCATTGTGACAGCAAGTTGATTGGAAGTTTTTGAAATGCATGCATCTTATTATCTTGCACAGTTACTGCATGTCCTCATAGACAAAGTCCTGATAGACATGTACTGCTGACCATTTTGAATACTGGCTTTGTCAGGTTTGCTCGGCCGCTCTGGCCTCCCTCACCTTTCCTACTGTCTCTTGCCCATTTACACTAATCACGTTCACCTGTTCCTCACCCCCTTATCACCAGCTGCACTTGATTAGGTTGCTCTCTATATTACCCGGTTTCACTCCTCAGTCGGAGTAGGGCAGCAGCCGACCACACTGACCCGTTCTGCATCTGCACGACCTTCTGAGGCCCGGGCCTCGTCCCGTATGGGGGAAACCGACACATCCTTCCAGAGACCTATGGATAAACCCACGGAATTAGGGCACGCCCGTCTGACTCCTGAAGAACGAGCCCGCCGTGTCCGC